GAAAAAAAGTTGCATTCTTTTTCTTTGGGTGAAAAGTATTGCGATTACACCAATATGGGTTATTTGGGTGATGGGTTTTTCTTTTTGAATATTCAAAAGCATGCCTCTTTTGTTTTCTTTATTTACATCAATGACTTTTGATTTCTATTTGCATTTCTTTATTCAGGGAAGTTAAGGTAAAATAGAAATGAATTTTCTGCAATGTAGTTTTAGTTGTAGAAAAAACGTAAAACTTAGGCATAAAATGTATTAAGTTCCCATTTCATCTCGAATCAAAGCTTTATGAGTTTGGTTCACTTTGTTTAATAAATCTAGTGCTTATAGTTTGATTGTTTGAATTTTGATTGTGTAGTGGCAAACTTAGTTTGATGGGGAAAAAACAGTGGCTAAATATTTTCGTTCAAGACATTTTTTAGAGTGATTCCTTCTGATTATTTTGATTTCATCATTAATTTTTCAGATCAGTTGTTTGTGAGAAAGAACAAATCAACAACATAAACTTCGGTCACCGATCAGGTTGTAACTTTCCTTGCTAATATATATGTTTTATTATTTACTTGCTACTATATTTGTTTTATTGATTACTTTTAAATATGTTATCTCAAAAACAACCATCGGGTGCCCAAATTAGAAAACGAAAAAAATAAGAACAAGAAATATGGTACAAGTATAGAGATATAAAATTATCATCTCGCCCAGAGCATTAAAATTCATTGGATCAGCCCTGTACCTCAACACAGCTGCCTCAACAGCTGATTCAGGTACCGGTTCTGTGAGATGATTTTTTTTTGTTAGTTTAGATGCAAGAAAATTCAATTATTTTTAACCTTGATTCCTACTGGAAAGTTGGTTTCTCTACTTGGTCCTAATTTGGCCTTTATGAAAACTGATACATTAGTCCACATGTCCACTGTTTTTAATAATTCATTGCGCTCTGATTTCTAATCATTCCTTGTATAAGTTAGTGATTTAATGAGATAATTTATTAGTGTTATGAGTTGAACTAACTTCACGGATTTTATAAAAACGCGAGGATCGTATTTTGACAATTAAATTAAAGTGATTAATGATGATGAAATTCATTGTTATTACACCTTATATATTTATAGAAAATGAATTTTGTTGGAAAATACAACGATGCAAAAGTTCATACATCTATATCAAACAACTGACATAAATTAAAAAAAAAGATTTTCAAGGTAGAAATCAGAAAACAAAAAGTAAAAAAAGATATAAAAGTTGATGATCATCTATTATATTAGTATGTAAGCTGAAAGCCATCAGCCTGGAGGCCATGTCTATTAGAGTGAAGAACACCATTGTGATACTCTCTTCTTCCAAGGGGATCAATTTCTTACTCAAAACCAAAGTTCGAGGGAAATTCAAACTGAGATTTCTTTACATTTGGCTCACGTATGAGTGGAAGAATAACACCAAAAATATTACACATATATAGGATTGAATAACAACACAAGAGCTAGTGAGGGGAAGGAAAATATAATTCAACAGGGGATGTCTGGATTTATCTTAAAATTGCCGCCTATCTCACATATTTTCAAAGTTTTTTTTAGTTTAATGGCTTTGAATTATTTGAATAATGTAATAATAATTATCACTTAATAAGTTATTCTCATTTACTTTTATATTCTTATTACATTTAAATATGTTACATTTTATATATTATAATATTAAAATTTAAATATCATTTAAATTAAATTATTTGTATGTTATGAATTATGTCAAGTGTTTATACAAGTGGTTGAGACTCAGAATTTATGTTTGTAAGGTCAAGTTCGAATCCTACTACCTTCACTCTTGGTGGAAAAATCGGTAAATTTATATGTAAATCTCAATTGGGTCTTAGGTATGTCATGGTCCTGACTGGGGGAGCCACACCTGACCTAATTTTTTTTTATCCAACAAAAAAATATTAAAGGATAAACTATATCATTGATCACCAAACTATTTAATTGTATTTAATCACGAAGATACTAACGTGACAATTAATCAAATTAGTACAATTATACATTTAGTCTTCTATTCTTATAGATTATATCAATTTGGTCATAATTTAAATTTAATTTAATAAATCAATTTTTTAATCACGTGATTGGAGTGAAAATAAAGAAGAAAGATATTGCATTTCATTAGATTTGAAACCATGTTACCTGGGAAAATGGTGAGTGCAATAACCATTGGACCAAAGGTCTCAATCAGATTAAATGTTAAAACAAATTGTATTTAACTTAAATAGTTGTTAATGGTAATAAAAACAAACAAAAATAAATGAGGATTAGAATCTAGAAAAATTATAAAATAAAAAAATCATCTAAAAAATAAATAAATCTAATATTTTATTTATATCTAAATACATTATACATATTTTAAATTATACATAATAGAAAATTTACAATAAAATAAATTTAATATTTTTATATTTTATAAATAAAAAATATGAAATTATAAAAGTAAATATAAACATAGCAAATTTATTTTATTGCAAATCTTTCATTAATTATAATTTAATATATATATATATATATAATTTATTTAAATATAAATAAAATATTATATTTATTTGGTTGTTTATATGATTTTTTTATTTTATAATTTGTATAGGTTCTATCTTCATTTGTGCTTTTACCATTAACAAGATTTTAAGCTAATTATGATTTGTTTTAACCATTACACCAATCGTGACCTTTGGTTCAGTGGTTGGGTCGCCCACCATCTATCCCTAGCTTATATGGTTTTGATTCCCTTGGAGCGCAGTTTCTCATCTTCTATTTTCACTTTTATTTTCACTCATAATCAGGTGGTGACAGGTGATTTGATTGGATAGAATTTTTAGTTAACTAAATTAAAATTAATAAATAAAATCTTCTGATTATATATTGATACGTATCATATCTTGATTAAATGATTTATTTATTAAATTTAAATTAAGATCAAATTGATATAATGTATAGGAATAGAGGATTAAATGTATAATTAAACCAATTTTATTAACTGTCACATCAATATCTCCGTCTAATATTAACGTTAGTGACTTGATTGAATGTAATTAAATAATTAGACAATCTGATTGACAAAATTAAATATCAATATAAAATTAAAAGGACTAAATAATTAGATGATCAATGAATATAATTTACCTAATATTAAATTATATCAACGATTCAAAAAGAATATTAAATTTAAACTAAAATATAATAATATTTGAGAGAAAAGGACAATAACACAAGATTAGGGCTATGAAATAGCAGCATCAAAAACGTACTTTTCACACACTTATCAAGTAGCATGGTCCAGCAACATGTAAATGTTGAGCTGGGGAGTTAATGGTCCCCACAACTTGCAGATACATTCAGATTTCACCGATGTTTGGATATATAAAGATCTGAATTGAGATTTAGTAAAATTGTCGCATTAAATGCTAAACTTGTTCAGTTCAAATAAATATCGACTAAAGAGTAATTAAAAATATTATTAGAGAATACATTTACCGTGAATTCGTAAAAGAAGAAAAAGAACATTTGAATGATTTCTAGGCATGATGTTTTCAGAACCGCTTCAACGACATGCTCCAAAATCTACCCATCATCCATATTTGTCTTGTAGACTGTACACACATGCAGCCCAGCCGACATGATATCATATAATTTTCTATAATTTAACTTGGGGTTTTTAAAATGATATTGTTTAATTATTTGATTTTTCAAGTAAAGTAGGAAATGGCTATAAGGAATCAAAATTTCCAAGTTAAAAACAAAACCCAGCAGCTGGCAGTGATACTTATCCAAAGCGAAAGGGTTAAAGTTAATAAAGGAGATGGCATTCTCCACCCCATCCTTTTGCTTCGCATGTACACTACACCACGGGATAAGGCCGGTATTCTCAAATTCACCTTTGTGGCCATAAAATAACCACCCAATTTATCAACAAATGTCTTCTTGCACCCTTCTTTTCTACCATTTTTGCTTATAACTGCCATTTATTATGAACTCAAATAAGAATAATTGTTCAAGAAAACCAAAATAAAAATAACTGTTCAAGCCAAGTAAATTTTTATAGTGGCAAAATTTATGGATATTTTAATAAAATGTCTTAGAATAAAAAAAATTGACTTTGACCCTCTGAAAATCGCAAGCTATGTTATCATGACAACTCATTTTTTTTATTAAATATTATTATTTGCTCGGTAATTTTATGAGTAACTATTTAGACGGAGTCTAAACATTCTATTGAATGGGAGAGTTGAAATAGAAAGAGGTAGGAACCCCCGGGTTAATTGTATTTTAAAATATTTTAGATTTGAATACTAATGATGATAGAGTATTTACATTTTATTATTAAATGATTAAAATTTTATAAAAATATATTTTGAGATAAAAAGAGAAATAGTAAAATAGAAGAGTTTGGTTGATATAATTACAACGTTTGCTTAGCATCTGCCACAGGAATGACGGCAAAAGACACCAAAAAGCCTCTATCAATGATTGATTGCTTTTTATTACACAAAAAAACCCTACCCCTTACCTCGAGATACGTGAACCCCCACGTATGCCCTAAAAATCAGGAGCCGCAAATGAGAGGACGCCATCTCAGCAGATAAAGAACCCTTTGTGGAACAAGTAATCCCTGCCCATCACTGGGGATTACCCTTTATCCTTTGAATCTGCATTTCTTGTTCTAAATCTGGATGCATAATCCAGAATTAGATTAGAACGGGCTGGCATAGGGGATATGTAAAATAAAATTAAAAGAAAGAGTGGTCCATCCAAGCATTGTGTTTTCCGGTGCAAGTAAATAGGATGCTTCTCATTTCGTCATGTAATTAATATAATATTAGAGATTTGGTTCAAATATGAAGGGTAAAACATGTACAGTCCAACATGCCTGCCTAAATATTAATATCACACCAACGAATCTTTCTTTTTATCCTTTGCACTGTGCTTTTCTTTTAGATACCTGCTCTCTCACTCGTCGGCTCTACTATTATATTTGTTCCCCAGCTTGTATTTCTGTTCATTCTTTGGGACACAGAGCTAGGCCGCCCTGCATATCGGGGTTTGTTTTATTGCAATATTAAAGGAGGTAAGCGGGATTCATCATTTCTTCGTTTTACCATCACAATTCAAAACATAGCACCAAATAAATTAATTATTGTTTCCTTTTAATACTGGGCTCAGTGGTTTACCATTTTATTCTTAAAAGGTCGTCTTTTTATAATCCAACAGCTTTTCCCCCTACCTTTAGTTTCACAACCAAGGTTTAGGGTTTTGGATTTGCTTTGAGCTTGTCTTGGAATTGGGCTGAAATTGAATGGCATAGATTAAACCTAATTGCTAATACAAATTTTGATTGGCAGGCATGGTGTTTTGCAGGTGAAGAGTGAAGAATTAGATGAGTTCGTGTTTAAGCAGAGGGGGGAGGGCCTATGGTTTAGAGCTAGAAATAATAAAACCTACTTTTTCAACTTCAAGCAGAAGTTGTCAGTCTTCACCTTCTTCAAGCAATGGCAATTCCCCACTTGCAATCTCCACTAGAAAACCCCGAACCCCTCGCAAACGCCCCAACCAAACCTACAATGAAGCTGCTGCCCTCCTTTCCACCGCCTATCCCTGTCTGTTCCCCCCAAAAAACTTTACCAAATCCCCTAAATTCACCAAGCCTCATCACTACTCTTTCTTCAATGATTCTTCCCAACTGTTGTTGTTTCCTTTCCGGGTCATTCAAGACTCTGGGTTCTTGCTGCCAAAACCCGTAGAGTCGAAAGTGGAGAGCGTTTGTAACAAGTGGGCAAGCGATACTAGTAGTGGGGAAGTGAATTCCCCTGGAAGAGGAGTTTCCACGGAAAGGGAAATGGAATTCCAAGATGATTTCGATGCGGAATCGATCCTGGAGGAAGGTAGAGGGATTGATAGCATAATGGGGAAGCTTAGTGTGAAGCAGGAGGAGGAGACATGGGAAGGTAGAAGCAACCTAGTTGGTTGTTCATGTTATACGAGAAAGGGATTAGTAAGAGCATTGAGACATGTGGAGCAGCAAGCCAATTGGTGGAATTTCTCAACCGTAGACTTGCAACAAATCTCACCCAAAACCAACACCAACACCAACACCAACACCAACACCAGAGCTGACAAGAAGAAAAAGAAAAACAACCCAAATCCAGGGCTGAAGCTTAAATTGAAATTGAATTACGAGGAGGTGGTCAATGCCTGGTCTGAGTCTGACGGTGGCTCCCCTTTTTCACACCAACCTCCCGGAAATGATGTCTATGTATGCTCTTTTTCTTTCCCTTTGATATATCTGTATGGGATGGATAGCAATTCAATGGGTTTTATAAAAAATGAAATGGCATTGCAGATGGATTTATTGAGTGAGGCGGAAGGCGGAGTGAGGGAGGCAAGCGTGCTTCGGTACAAACAAAAGCGGCATACACGTCTCTTCTCCACCAAAATTAGGTACCAAGTCCGTAAACTTAATGCTGATCGACCCCCCCGAATCAAGGTCGCCTTTCTCTCCTCTCTCTCTCTCTCTCTCTCTCTCTCTCTCTTTCCTTTTCTTTTCTTTTATTACTAAAAAAATATGAATATTAGTCTTGTTGATACCATCTTCATCATCATTTTTGCAGAGCCGGTTTGTCAGATGGCCAAATTATTGTTCCACAAGTGATGAAACGTGACCCATTACGTACATCAAGTCAACAACCTTTTTTTTTTTTGCCTTGTAATGCTTCCCCCATTATTTCCATTTCGTTTATTCCCCAAAGAGCAAGGTTTTGTTGGATTAAATAGTATCGAGTTTTATAAATAAACAACCTAATTTCCATTATTTATGTTCACTCACTAAACATGTTAGTTTTAATATTGAATGAATCTTGGTCAACAAGCATTTTAGCATCAAAACTAGTCGAGTAGATTCTATAATTACATTTGTCACACTAAACTTGTTCAGGGTTCTCCAAACCAAATCAAATTGATGTAAGTAATACGGATCTCTAATTTGGGGTCTGTTAGACATTTTCATTATTATTATTATTATTATTATTATTATAAAAAAGTACTATAATTTATGTTAACACTAAATTCTGATTTTAAGTTTTTTTTTATATCTTTTTTAAATAAAAAACTTTCAGAAGATTTAAGTAAATTGCCGCTTATAGTTTCTCTATTTTATTGGAGAAAGTTGATATTTAAAAGGGTCTATAAATCCTTTCATTACTTCGCCATTAATAAGATCCCGTTGTTAATGTTATAGTTTTGTTTAGGTAAACTACACCAGATACCATTGATCTTTAGTCGTTATATTATTGAAATTTCAAATTTGTCAATTATAATATTAAATTTTGATTTTTGTTTTAATTATACCACTGGGTCGTTAAATCATTAACAACCATATCATAACGATGTTTTTGTGAGGTGTTACGTTGACAATCATCAGTCACATCATCGTTTCATTAATGATTTAACGGTTTAGTGATATAATTGAAATAAAAATAAAAGTTTAGTACTATAATTAGTAAAATTAAAAATTTAGTGGTATAAACGATTCAATGCCTAAAATTCAGTGGTATATGATGTAATTTACCCTATTTTTTCTGTGGTCAGTGACAACAATTATTCATGTACGTAATCAAATAATGTACTGAAAATTTATATCATAAATCCTTTCTATCATTTAAGGTATGGATGCAATCAATGAAATAATACATCTCATTAATTTTTTTTAAATGTTATCTCTTACGTGCAAGTAAATCTTACATTTCTTTTTCGTCTTGCAATAGCCACATGGCATTTGATTCTTCTTCTTCCAGGAACTTGCTGTTAATTTTTTTCCTTGTTCAAGCAAACTTGCTAATACAATCACAAAAATAAGTTACAACCTCAAGAAAATATATTATGAGTATTATAATCGAGAATTAATATTTCTCTTTAGAAACATTTAAACAGTGTTCTTGTCTTCCGTTGTTTCTTTCAAATTGCTCAAACTAATGCTGTAAAAACAAAAATCTTCCATCAAAACTACACACACACACACACACCATAAAAATACACCCTCCTAAGAAAGACAGGCATGGCATTTTTATTGGTTGAGTTCTAGGAAGGGACTGCGATATAATTTCTCATCAAGAAAAAATATGACAAAAAAAAAGAACAGTATCAATTCTCATTGCAACTTTAGGAACAAAATCCTGCAGCGGTAGTGAAGTTGGTTTGTAAACACAGTCAAAGCTTCTCCTTCAGCTCTGCAATGGGAATATAGATAACCGATTCCTGGCGTAGCCGCCTTTTATTAAACTTTCTACCTTTGCTAGTTTCTAATCTTAATAATGTTTGCTTCATATTCTCAAGCCTAACCTTAACCTACAAAGTCTTTCCATCTCTAACTCAAATGCCTGAAGTCCGCCCCCAACAAAAATGTTCTTCCTCTTCCTCTTCCTTTTTTTCACGTTTAAAAGCTTCTTCAATATCACATCGTCACTCAATTCCTTACTGACCTGAAAAACAAAATCTTCAAATATATCAGAATGAAACATTTATGCATCTTTATTTTCCATTTTTATGTCTATGCCATGTCATTCTTAGAATTCAAATCATAGTTTATTGTTGAATCCAAAGTAGGAACTACATTAGGCCAGGCAAAGCTTGTTAAATTTCATTCTACATCACTCTGCAGTGTGTGAACATAACTCAATGAAATGCCAGCATATACTCTCGAACAACGTCCAATCCTAATTTTAAAAGCCATTGCACAGCAACTCATAGCTTCTTTGGGAAAAAAAGTCGAAAAAGTTCACCTTGAAAATTATTCAAACTAAATCCTAATTGAACTGAAATGTCAGCAGACAAAACTTACCCAACTCTGAAATGATATTTAAATTGAAACTTGATCTGCTCCACTCCAAAAGAGTTGTCTTATTCAGGATAAGAACTATCTTAAACTACATTTGGGATAAGAGGAGCAGATGGAGATTATGCCTTGAGGTGAAGGAAAGAAAGGGGTCTGTTACAAACTTTGTTGGGTTAATAGTGTTCCATTCATTTTACAAGCACGCCATTTTCAAATCAATAAGAAAAGCTAAATCAGGGTAATTCTGTCAGAATAATATAAACCGTTTAACGAGGAATCTTTAATCACAGACAAATCATGCAAAGAGAACAAAAGAGAAGGGGAAAGGAAAATGGAGTCTTAAGTTAGAACCAAATCTTATCCAAATTACCTTGTTGCTGTTTGATTTTGAGTTTGGACTCTTCCACAGTTTCTTTTTCAATCTCTTGGGTGTGCGTAACAAAGCTGTTTCTGACATATCCTCCAATGCTATGGCATCAGGATTGTTCCTCTTTGGAGCTTGTAGTCCAGTTTCCTTGGTGACTGTAGGAGAAGAGCTCTGAAGATGATCTGCTTTCTCTACCTGACACACAAGGAACTGTGAGGAAGACTAAACTTGGTCAAAATATCTTCTAGCTTTCACCAGTTCCACAATAAATGCTATTGCATAGTAAAGTTAGTAATTAATAACTTCTAAGAGAAACAACTATACATATCATCTAACAAATCAGCCAAGGTTTGAGCCGCAACGAAAACTTATAAATGTATTTTCCTTTTCAAGGATCGAAAGGTTTACCATCAATCAGAAACTGAGATTTGAAAAAAAAAAAGAAGAATCAGTGGAAGGTCTGTATACATTATAAGATTTGAGCTAAAACTGATACATTAAAAGATAAGGGGAAAAAAATGCATGGAAGAAATGAACATATGCAATTACAGCAGTGTGCATGGAGTGCAAACATACCTTTCTACTTTTTAACGCCAAGTAGCGGGCATTCTTGAACCATTTATTTACCTGGAAAATTAAAGTCAGTGATAAGAACTGGAAGGCGTAAGGAACAGAGAGCTAACAGCTTACAAAATGTAAACTCTGAGGACGACATAACACTATTCCTCTAATTCTCTATTGTTATTTTGAACTTGCTATCAAATCCACGTGCCATAATGATCATTGCTTTATCTTGGTGATAAATGTGATACACAGGTTAATACTAGTAGATGCCATAGATGTAGAATATAACCCTCTATTATTCTGACATCAAGGTGCACTCAAGCAATCATCTCAGAAAGAATGGTTTCAGTAGGATGAATTAAGAATCATCATGAAGCAATAGTAATGGTTAGTCACTCTGATTTCCCGAGAAATATTTGCAACTATGGAAACCAAAATGCATTATCAATTTGTAGCCACCTATCTTTGAAATTTCAGTATTTTGCAAAACTTGGTCGCTACCTTTTCAGGCTCAAGGCCCAATTCCTTTGAAAGGTTCTCCCTGATGACTCTAGATGGAAGTTCATTCTCAGCAAACACCTGTCGGAGTTTCTGGAAGGGCATAGAAAATAAAGAGAGTGGAATATAAGCATGTCCATAAAATTATTTACAGAGAGTGCAGAAAACAGCTTGGTGAACAAGACAAACAGATTATCAGACTCCAATTATACTCTTTTATTGGGGAATTAGAGCATTTCCTACCTCTACTGCAGTGGGAGGAATTCTGAAAAAAGGTTGTCTGCTCTTCAGTTCTGAAGGTAGCTGCCTTTTCATTTCTGTGGTTTCAATGTTTAAAAATTGTCTCACTTTCATACAAAGTCATAAGTGTGCTGGCAGCATCTGACACTTTTTCTCTATGCTTTCTTTTACCTGGACCCCAATCTTCATCTTCACTTACTTGCTCATATTGAGGAGCATCCTTTCCAAACATTTCCTACCCAGAAGGAGAAACACAGTACGAAAAAAGGGTTAAGTACTGAGCAACAACATGCACAAAGTCCATGTTATTGTTTACCCTGATATAAAAGTTCTGTTGCTTAAGCAATACTATGATGGCGAACCATGAGCATGTATTCAGAAATTGTCTAATATTTGTGATGTACAACCATACATTGTACATTCTAGCTAAAAAGCAATGACACATCACAAAGCTTTCTTCTCTGCAGACATTAGTACCAAGTTCAACTCCTACTCTTCACCCTAACCAATTTCACAACTCCCAAAAGTGTTGCTTTTTCCATTATTTCCTCATTTTGTTCCCCTACCCATTTCTTTCCTTATTAAGAATTCACTTCAGAGATTTAATAAATCACTTAAACTTCTATCGTCAACATGTTTACGATCAACTTCTTTCCCCTACTTCAAAGTTAATAATAGGTAATAGAAATTCTTCAAATACTCACATCATATAGCTTCTTGTAATCGACTGCTCTTCGCCTCCTACGACCCCAAACAATTTCCCCATCACTAGTTTCATAAGAATCAGCACCACTGTCAAATGGATGGTTTTCCACCTTCCGAATCCAGAAAGGTCTTCACTATCCACAGACCAACTTAAACTGGTTGAACTGTCTGTATCATCTGATTCATTACCATCAGTTGCCGTGTCACTGATCCTGAAGCTGTTTTCCCGCCTCCCTGGTTTATAATCATCATCGTCAGAATCATCTGAAGGCCATTTGTCCTCTGGATTTAGTGATGTAATCGCATCATCTGGGAGAGCAGCTTCATCTTTGAAAATATCCTAGCCCATTAAGAATGACATCGTTGTTGATTGATTGATAGAACAGTGAAATCCAATTCAAGTACAAAAATCAGCAGAGGTTATCAACACTTGATAAAGACTGCCATAATACCTGCCAATGGCTGTCAACAGAGAAATGGGTTCCAATATGTGCATTCATTGCTTCTATAATTGCAATCTTACACTCACAAAACTTGCAGAGCCAGCCCTGATCTACTGGAGGTACTGTCCATTGATTTGAAAACATCTTATTGAGAAGCCATTTAATTTATAATTTGGAACTTATTTACACAACTGGAACGTACTATTTTCAGTGTCCAGTGGAGGATCCAGGCACTTTTGGTGGAAGGCCTGGTTGCATGTTCCATCACAAAGTACTATATCATTATCTGGAAAAGCCTCACGTAACTTGCACTTAGCACAAAATATCTGAAGAAAATGATACCAGAAGATGAGAAATAGAAAATTGATCATAGAAATCTAGCAAATCATGATTTATAGATTGATATAAACAACTATGGAAGTTACATGTTCATGGTAAACTGATCCATCTGGGGCAATAACAGAGCCTTCGATGCTTCCTACTGAACTAAGTGAATCCAACTGGCGAATAGTCTCACGTATCCCAAGTTTGCACTTCAATATTTGTTTCTTGGCTCTTTGCAGTTCCTTTTCTGGCTTAATCTTTTCTCGACTATGATAAAGTCAGATAATCTGAGTAAATAGATAATAGAAGGAGAACAAATAGTTCCTACAACAATAAGTAAATGAATATTTGTATAACCTATTTCTTTTGAATGTTTGAACATGATAGAGCTTAAATTCTTTTATCACGCCATTTCACCAGTATATATGATAGCTCATCTTCCCCAATTGCTATTTTATGATAAATTTGAGGGGATTTTTTTATTTTATCTTACAGTAGTTTGAAGAGGCTTTCGCTGTTTACTTAAAGATTTGAGTGGGCAAGAAAGAGAGAGCTTAGTACCTTTGACCTTTCCAGCCTTCCCCAGAGTAAGCATCAATAAGATTCTGTTCCAGCTTCATTTTAATCAGAAGGTACTTTGTTCTCCTCTGCAACCGAGATGCTTCATCCAGCTCCACCTTATCCTTTTTCCCCTTCTTTGTTTTCTTGGTTAGTTTTTTAATTCTAACATCTGCATTAGCCTTTTTACCATTCTCCTCCAAACTACCATGAGTAGCATTTTTACCTTGAAGCTTTGATGAACCCGACTTCTTAGAAGAGCCTTTCTTGTTTGCTTTGTGCAGGTTTGTCTTACAACCCACTTTTTTGCTGTAAGAGACATCACTCCTCAGCCCCTTGGTAACAGAGGCAGTAACTTTCCTCTTCAACAAGGATGAACCAACTTTCTTCACATGATGTTTGGGCTTACGTACTCTGCCATGGGAAAGTTTGCATAGATTTTTAAGTTTTAGTGTTGCAATTAGCTTAGACCCATCTTCTCTTTTAGAAGAATAGGATTTGACAGGTCCATGATCAGTTAGTTTGTTTCCAGTACCATGCATACCGATCCACGCTGAACAAAAACTGAAAACATTTGGGCAATGCTTATAAGTAACGATTTCTCTATAGAACACCTAAAAATCAGAATAGATACAATATAACTTAACTGATTCACCAAGATCTGTTTAACTAAAGGAAGCAGCTCAAGATTTGATTTGTTCAATTAACTATCAAAGGAACCTAATCATCCAGTAAATTGTTTCATTTTTAATATTTATTTTTATGAATGAAAGCGAGAAAAGGAAGTAAATTAAGAGAAGTAAAAAGCAGGCATGGTCATTCACAGCTGACCTGCTGAAACTGTTTCCTACTCGGCTTATAGAAAGAAACAAAGAAGGGAATCCAAATGAAATTGATTGATTCGATATAAATAAAAGAAAACCAACGATGAAATTGGATTCTTCCCCCAAATCGCCACCACCGACGGTCGCCTCCCTCTTTAGACCGCGACTCTGCTCTTCTTTTCTCTTTCTCCAAAGATTTCTTTTTAACTTTTGATTTCCGCCTCCACATTCACTCTCATCTCTCTGTCTCTCTCTCTCCCTATCTCTCTCCCTCCCTCCCATGGTTTTCAGAATCTAGCGAACCGACTATGTTATCGGTTCACTGATTTAATCGATCGAATTAATTCGATCGATCGAAATAATCGAACGATATTATAATTATTTAAAAAATTAAATAAAAAAATATTTAATAATTTTTTATATCACAAGTCATATTTAAAGCAAGTCATAACATATATAAGTTAAAAACCATAAAATCAAGTGAAACAAAATGATTCAAATTAACTACAACATAATATTTAAGGTAAAACATATTAAATTATAAATATAATTATATAACTATAATTAAAAAATAAATTTGGGCTAAAAAAATCATAACAAAATGATATTGTTTGGTTTAATTTTTTTTAAAAAACAATCTCACATGGCTAAGAAACTTAGAAGAGCATTCCAAAAGTCTAAAGAGTAAAAATATGAGAACAAAACAATGACACATGGCTAAGAAACATAGAAGAGCATCACAACTAACCTCTATAAATAATAGATGTAATTTGGCATTCAAAATCATAGAGCCTTTTGGTGAGCATTGAGTGAAATATTCTTTCACTTCAATTAAACTCGAATTTAAGCTTCAATCGAGCTTCTAAATTTTTTTTGAGTTCAAGCCTTTTCTAGTTCAAGTTTCAATATTATATTTCGAGTTCGAGTTGAACTTTAGCTCTTGAGTTTGAGTCGAGTTAAGCTTACTTTTAAAGTTTTCAAGTTCGAGTCGAGCTCAGCAATACTCGAGTTCAGCTTGGCTCGTTTAACAAACGACGTTGTTTGGTTTAATTTAAAATAAACAAAATTAGCGCTTTTTTCCGGTTTTCAACAAGTCTGGTTCGAACGATTTAGCGATTCCGATCGGTTCACTAGTAATGATTCAACCGGTGTAGATTAAATCGGACTAGACAGCAATTTCCGATTGAACCGGCCGATCCGATCCGATTTTCAAAACACTGCTCTCTCACTCCCTCTCTCCCTCTCTCTCTCCCTCTCCCTCTCCCTCTCCCTCTCCCTCTCCCTCTCGCGTTAAAATTCAACTGTGCTAATATCACTCGACAGGTTCCTTTTCTTCGATTACATTAATTTTTGTGTAAAGTATCTGAATTATAATTGTGTTTTTATTTTGATTATTAAATAAAAATCGATTAAATTATCAACATTAACAAATCCGATTAATCAAATCCTCCTCTGTTCATAATTATTGACATTATATCTTAAATTAGTTTAAAGGTTTGATCATTTATATTTTTATTTTATTAATTTTTCACTAATGTAAAAAACACAATATATGATCATTTTCTGTTTTATTTAATTAAGATATGATTAATTTTATTTTTATTTATTTAAAATTTGGTCACAACGGGTTAATTGTAGTTGATAATTAATAGATTATGTGAGAGGGCAGTTAAATATTTTGGTCATATTTGATCTATGTTATTTACATATTCTCACAATTTATTCATATTTTTAATAAATTTAATCCTCTAATCGAATGATGCCAGGTATCATGCCAGTGTAATACTCCAAAAATTTGGTTAATGACCAAAATGAATAAAATGAAAGTTTGGTGGCTAAAGTATAAACTTGAGAAAGTTTAGAGACTAAAATGGTAATTTTCAAAAGTATATATTTGTGTCCCATAAATGAATAGTTAACTTCCATAATGAAGTTTTGGTGTCACTCGTATTTTAATGCGGAGTTTATGTTAAAATATATAAAATGTGAAAGTTTGAGGAAAAATTCAGATAATCGAATTGAATAAAAAATTCATCAATTTTGCTAGATGCTAGGAAAAGGGCAAAAATGTCTTTTTCATGTTTTAAAAGGATAAGATTTAATGTGGACCATTGAATTTAAATTGATTTCCATATTAAATCTTAGCCATTAGATTAAAAAAAACAATTGCAATTTTGGAACTTTACAAGGGCAAAGTTGGTAACTACTAAATACATGGTTTAATTCCAACCCTTGGATGATAAATTTGACATGTTGCATGATTAGGAACATTGAATCTTAAGGTTAAAGTGGCCATTTGGATTAAAATGAATTTTAAATTTGTTTAGGTTATAAAAATCCAAAAGTACTAAAATAAAAGAAAAGAAAGTTCAAGATTTTTATCCATTTTATATGTTGTTGTCGTGAACTCCTTGGAACATCTAGGTAAGTTTTGAAATTGATTTTCAAGCCTTTTTGTTGGATTTAAGGTTAATATATGATACAATTTTATTCTCCATTGAATTCTCTTTCATTTGATACCATTTGTTCATGTTGTTCACGCTTATAACTGATAACCACATAAAAGGCTATATTTCTTGTCTTTTTACTTAGGTTATTGGATGTTTAAAAGCCCATTTCATTGCATATAGTTGCATTTAGGACCACGTAGTTGCATACTGTGGTGATTTTTGCTGTAACATTTTTATCATGAAACTGGTGCTGCTTAAGGGGAAAGGTCGTGTTTTGCTTATGATGTATAAGTAGTGAAATCGAAGGAGAAGTGGAGAACTGCTGAAGCTGAATGAGAGACGGAGAAATGTTACAGTATTTTGGAGGACATTTCTAGGCATAGAAAAAGATAAAAAGGACGAAGATATTATAATTTGCTGTCAAGCTGTTTAACCCACACATGAATCCTCTGCCAGCTGTACGTGTGAGCCTCATTACTAGCCTTGCCTACCTATTCACGTGAAGGGAATGATCCCTTAGGGTACAAAGGGAATTTGGACATAAAACCCTAAGACGCCCTTCGTATAAATAATTAAGGCTACCATAAAATGGGGGACATCTAATCTTTTGGAAAAGTATGAGCTAAGAGAAAGAGGAAGAGGCATCATCACATTTTCCTCTATTTTATTCCTTTCTTCCTCCTTTGTGATGTCCTTCATAGTCGAGCTCAAGGGGATAGCAAGTTAGCTTTGCTAAGGAGGTTCAAGACGGTAGTCTAAACTCACGACAACTCACGTGTTTGAGAGGCTTCCTTCCCTCTTTGTGCTTTCTCATTTATATTTATCTTTTGGATTTGTAGTGGAAGAAATGATGATGATTTTAGACCGGCCATGAACTAACTTATTTGGCATGGGTTTACTTTGGATGATTTTGTCCTTGTTTAAATGAATGATGTTTCCATGTTTGAATGTTTGCTTTGTTCATTGTTTAAATGCTTAGAATTGTAAGAGCTTTCGAGAATTAGCCATTTTCTATGTTTGATGCTTAATATCGAGAGAGTTAGGCTTAGATTGAAGTGAAAAATGGGGATGATATGGGACAAGGCTCTAACTCGCCTTAAAGATAAAGAAAGGGTTTCAATGACTAAAAGGAGTAGGACTTAGTCAATATGATCTTTTTGTTGTTTACGTTGAGAGGTATTGCTGTAGTATTTTTATTATCAGGTTCCTTACTAGAGGCATCCTAGGAACACTTATAGCAAACTCTGTCGAGTATCATAATCATGGAAGACGTTAACCATTCTAGAGACAAGGTATATGATTCCTTAGTAAGCCCATCCGTTTATCCTTCTTGTAGCTTGTTTGTGAAAGGTTGTCAAGTTATCTTATTTCATACTCCAATGTTCAACTCAATTTTGCCATAGCATTCGTTAATTATTCGCCACAACATTCTCACTCAATTGTTCATACTATTCTATACTTTATTAGTTATAATCTAAATGCACAAACTTTACTCGAAGTCCCTCCAATCCATGTGGAGATGATACTCACTCACTATTATATTACTTGTTCGATTGTGTATACTTGCACAGTTTGTGTGTCATAGCATAGTACATCTTTCACAAAACAAGTTTTTGGCGTCGTTGCTGGAGATTGGCAGTTGGTGATTTAAATTATAGTTTTTGCACTATTTTATTTCTTCTTTTTGTATAGATTAAGTTGTTATTTTTGTTTACCTTTTTCAGGTGTTGCATTGTTGCATGACTCGTAGAGGATCTGAGAAGCCATTGTTACCTTTGGTACCCAAGATCAAACATCTTTCCTGTCAAAGAAGACATGTTCAAATATCTCAAAAAAGCCATGAAAGAAGTTCAAAATCGAGGAGGTCAACAAGTTGAGGATCTTGAAGATCCTAATGCTGCAACATTTTCGAACGAGAGAATTGTAGTTTGACCATGTGTTATTAGAGATCAGTTAGCTCCCATCTTAGACAATCTCAACCCTATTATTGTATCTCTTGAGATTCAAACAGCCCACTTCGAGCTTAAACCGATGATGTTTAAAATGTTGAACTCGATTAGATAATTTGGTGGTGCGCCACATGAAGATGCAAGGTAACACATTCATTCATTCTTAGAGTTTTGTGATTCCTTTAGAAAGAAAGGTGTGCATGGAGATGTATTGAAGCTCAAGTTATTTCCTTATTCATTGCATGATCGAGAAAGGGTGTGGTTGAGTGGAGTTTCATCATGCTCGATGAAATCTTGGTTTAACTTGTGTAAAAGCTATTTGTTGTGGTATATTCCACCCAACATGAAAACCCAACTAAGGAATGACATTGTATCCTTTCGTCAAGCTGATGACGAGCCTATGTACGAGTGCTGGGA